ATCTTGCCCAAGGACACTTCAACATGCAGTCTAGGGATTGAACCGCCGACCTACCGATTAAGATTGAGCAAGGTTTGAACCCAATTGCTCCAGAGGGAATAATGATGCAAAGGGAAACAGGGGAGAATCTCCATTCTAAATGGCATACGTACTGTGTAAGTCTTTTACACATCTGAGAAGAGTGACCCCCCTCATGCCTAGAAATAGATTTCACAATGCCCTCATTTTACACCTCTGCTCTCTACTATTCCTTTTCTCTCCACCCTTCCCTTTACAATTTATTCTGACAACATCCACAGATTCACACATGTGCAGTTTGTGTGTGTGTGTGTGTGTGTGTGTGTGTGTGTGTGTGCACATGAGGAATGCATGATATTTTTAGCTCCGCTATCAAATATCTCTTTGTTCCAATTGGGAAACATCAATATCTGAATCACTGATGGGAGGAAAAAGCAAACTGAATGTGTGTGTCCTTGGCTAACTGTCAAGGTGAGTTTTTTTCTTCCTTTTTTAAATAGGCCAGAGATTGAAGGGTTAATGTATTTCCTAGTGAACCCATAGAGAACTGACCGAGGACACTATTACCTCTCTGAGATAGAGAGACAGAGAGAGACAGAGAGAGAGAGAAGTGATGGGAAGGGTGAGAGAGAAGGGAGGGAATGGACAGGGAGGAGGAGAATAGAGGAGAGAGACGAATGGGGGGTTCAGGGGTTACGAAGGAAGTGCAGTGTGTAGGAAGTGACGGAAGGTGTCACGAGGGATGGATAGGGAGAGGTAAGGGAATGAGATGTCCTCTCCAAGGTGAATGCGTGACTGCAGGGCAGAGAATTACAGCAGCTACATATCTCAATCCACAGTGGCCAAGGTGGGGTCACGTTTACACAGCACTTACAGATATGGGCGCACTATTATGTTACTTGTTTGTGTGGTTACCATATTAATGATAACCACGCCAACAACTAACAACATGCTGTATAATTCACATTTACATACCAACTACTGTTGGTAGTTAGGATTACTGGTAATTGCTTTGTTATAACCTGGGGTGCTCTGCATCTGTTTGCCTCGCTGCACCACAACTCTTACCTTTTCTGGTGGTTGTTGTGTAATCTCTACAAAAGGGCGTTGCATAATGCCTTGTGGCTTTTGAAAGGGAAGATGATGAAAGTGGTTTAATGGCATAGTTGAAGTGACAGTTGTTCTGTGTGTTTTCATATTTAGGAACATTTTGGACTACATATCTTTGTTTTCTGATATATTTGTCTGTATATTTGGTGCGTGAAATAGTCTTCTGAGTCTTGACTGTGGTTCTGCTATCATGGGGGCTTGTAACATCAGCGGTACCTCTATGCAAATAATGAGTGTTACTTGGAGGACGAACAGTGCAGTTGCAAGGACATAATCTTGATGTGTGGATGGGACAGATCTGACAGCAAGTTACTTTCACATTTCACAAATCATGACATTTCAACAGATGTTTAATGTACACGTAAACATTTGCTGTATGAAATAGAATATAGAACATTGCAGAATACAGATGAAAAATAGACAGTAATGTTAAGTAATATAATATTAGGGAATGGAGATGGACAGTGCTGCCACAAATGAAATGAGGGAGGTTGAGAGAATTATGGTTGATTGACGATAAGAAAGGGACTACAGTGGCTAGCTTGTTTTTGGATCAAAGGTTTCAGATCTAGAGGTCTGCAAAGCAGTGTGATCCTCTGCAGAGATTGTTAACTTTCACATCAATGACCAAACCCTGATTTAATTTATTTTCAAACTTTAAGCCCTTGGCGTGCAAGACATGACATTCCATGTTACTACAGAACTAGCTTATCATTCAACTCTTTGGTGGCAATTCAATGGATTGCATACGGATGCATGTAGCAATTAAGAAAAAAATAAAAGGTGACCTACTAATCACAACAGCACTAAGAGTGAAGCAACACAACTAAAGATACAGATTGGCCCTGAGGCAACTTACCCTAACCTTGACCGTCACAGAAGTTTGTGCCTAAACCTAAGTCAGTAAATATATGCATGTCGACCGGCTAACCTTACAGCTGTGCAGGTAGGGTTAGCCATCTTTGTGTTGCAACGCAAAATCGACGCTTTGCGTACAATAGCCATGGTTTTGTCAAAGCGTGTATATGATGCCTGATAGGAGAACGGGTGGTTGAAAGACATCTTTTGGGAAACAGACAGCAACAGTGGTTGTGTTTTACATTATGGTATAGAATTACAAGCATGCACATCACTTTTAATATGTTATTTAATTTACAGACATTTCATACTGCTTATAATATGAGGTCAGCATAGTCTAAAATTGTTGTCTACATACAATCCCACACTAGGGTTGCCGATTTGGCTGGCAGTCATCGACCACTGAGCCGTCTACCTTTGTAACATTGCTGCCAGTTTTATTTGGTTTGCAACTGGTTTGGACCTGCCTTAGTAAATCAGGGGGTGTTTATTTGTATTATAAATTTGAGGACTTTTAACAAAGGTAGGAGTGGGACTACTACACCTATCAAACATGAAGCCATGTTCTGCCAGATAATCCGTCGATCAGCAGACACTCTGCTGCACGAGGGTCAACAGTAACGCTAGCTGAACAAAACAAAAATTATGTATTCATTATGTAACCGGGCTGGAGGACTTGGCAAAAATTGATGATTAAGCAAAGATTGACAACCCCTCCTTGGGACTTTCACCCAAAGAGTTAAGATATTAAATTGAAGCCTACAGAGAAGATCAGAGACAAGGTTTTCTATTTTTCTGTCTATATGGCAGTCAGTTATATTTCTACAGTGAGGACCTTATAAAAGGGGCTATAAATACAAACGACGACACACAAATGTACAAATGAAATCCAAATAACACACTTAAAAATACATGCAATGTTATTCAAATGAGCCACCTGTTATACATCACCACCTCTGTACCAAGATAAATCGGAATAACCACTATAAAGAAATGTTTAAAGTTAAAATGTTATGTTAATCTTTTTCCTAAAATAAAAGCCAAATTAAAAATCACTAAACGAAACACAATATTCAAAACAAATAAAATCTCCAACCCAACTATAAAAGAAGTCATAAAAATAAAACTGTCAAGGATTCAATGAAAGTGAGTTAAAAATAATAAAACAGGGAGTTAATAACTAAGGCTACGCAAAGAAGCAGTGGCAATCTGTGGCTGTTCACAACACTCCCGAATCTCGGCAAACGTTTACGTGCTTCACAGGCTTCACGGGCCGTCTCTTCCAGAGACCACACAGACACAGCACGGACCACCACACCATGCAGCAGCAACAGCAGAAAGACGAAGCTTGGAGCTGACCTGATGGACATTTAATTCTAGGCGGCTAAAGTGGTAACTCACGTGAAAAAGTGTAACTTAAGCGCACAAGCACAGCATCCAAAGCACATCAGAGTAAAATCTAGCAAGTTAGTCATTAGTTGTTTATAAAACAACAGTCACTGAAGACAGGGCTGTAAATTTGTAACTAAGATAACAAAGAAGGTAACGTTACCTAGCATAACATTTTGAATTATTCATCAATCCAAATAATCACACTGCTTGCCAACTTGTGTTTTCTAGGTCTTTGTGTTAATAAAACTTTTTGCATTGTACTGACAAATATCATGATATACAGTGAACAATGATACAGCAACTAATGTTATCTAAGTTGTTGGTTAGCAAAATGTCACTAGTTGCTGCTACGAAGCTAACATGTAGAAAGGACGAGACATTTCCCAGAGCCAGCACGCCAGCTCCAGACAGCGATACTCACAGCTTTCCTGCTACTATAGGTAACACCACAACAACAGAAAAAACAATACTGACCGACTGATTCTGTAAAACATAGCAACACTAATGTTATCCATCTGTCAAGTAGAAACAGAGCAACATCTGGATAAGTCTTCATGCCTTTCAATTCTCGGATGTTAAAGCAGCCCTTGTCTGGTCATATAACTTCTTTTTCAATCTCTGTTATCAATCTGTCAATTCCCCCACTTGTTCTTTAATAAATATTTTGTTGTAAGCTTATTTCTTATTTTACATATTCATCACAATTATTTAAAAAGCGAAGCATGGGATCTTTGGGTGTAGAATGGACTTAAAAACCATTGCAATATGAAATATATAGTTTTTATATAGTTTGATTTAGTTCACTAATGGATGGCATTGGAATGAGATTCTTCAAATACACCCCTTGGGTTTGTTTATTTACTGTGAACTGTACTGACTTTCAAAAGAGCAGAGCCAGGAGGAAATGTTGGGATCTGGGGGCACTATTGGGCCCTACAACAGAATCAGGGAGTGTTTGAGCAAACACACAGATCACCACTGCACCACTACGTCACTACCAGTAATACTACAACCACACGCACACGCACACGCACACGCACACACACACACACACACACACAGACAAACATGGATGAGAACTGCAGCCATAACATTTTTCTTTATGTATTATAAGTACCATACATTTTTTATATTTTATCTTTCTGATTTATTCTTTTTCGCTTTTAAATGGCTGGCACAGTATTAAGTGCATGCATAAGGAGTAATTTCCCTGTCACTCATCCAGCTAAGTAACCAGATATTCATCATGTCCAAGTTCAGATCATCCCAGGGTTTGATGTTATTGACCTTGATGCCCTATAGCAACAAGTAACATTCACCTGTGACATCACACCTTCAGGTGTGGATTGAGGTGAAAGAACAGCAGATGTTGGTATGGAGTAATAAAAAAAGAAAGGTATCAATTTACTGTGACAGCTGTGAACCACCCACCAAGACCAGCATATAAAACAAACAAAAGGTGTAGAGGGCATAGAAACATGTTCAAATGTATAGACAATCAGAGGGATTCACCCAATCACAACCTGGATGAAATCAGAGGATAGAAGTCCAGTATTCTCATGTAATGTAGAGAGAAAGAGTGAGGAATGACAGCTGAAGGTATAGAGGGAAGTATAACTCACCAAGCAGCAGTGAAACTACCAGACCAGCATGAAGTAGATCCCCTGATCTCAGCCGACCAGAGACACTGGAACCAGTGCTGTCCACTGACGCCATGACACCAAGTCTGTCCGTCTGTGTTGTTGTCTGTCTTTGTGTATGTAAAGAATGTGTGTCTTTGTCAATCTGTCCCCGTCTGCCAGTCTGGTCAGCCTGAACTGAGTCCAATCTATGCAAAAATGTGTGTCTCGATGTGTCTCGATGTGTCTTGATGTGTCTCTTTGTGTGTGTGTGTGTGTGTGCTTGTCTTATGTGTCTTTGGAGCAAGGCGGGACACTGAGCTGTGCAGCTGAGTCTGAAGTCCTGCTCTCAGTACCTCCTTCTTTTCTCCTCCTCTGCACTCTGTCCCAGAAATGAACAGAGGGAGGAAGCGCAAAGAGAAGGATTAGAGTAGATAAAGAGTAGAATAAATTCCTTGGGGGAGCTCTCTCGCAAACCAGTGGTTTCCTCTCCAGCAGCCCAGGAAAGCTCAGGGAGAGACAAGCTGAAGAATGCAGCAGCTGAATGAAGAGCGCAGGCTCTCCGTCTCTCTCCCTCCCTTCCTGTCCTCTGTCACTGTCTCTTGTAGACTGAGTGGTGATTATCCAGCATAGGAGAGCGTGGAGCAAAAGGCAGAGAGGAAAAGCGAGGCAGATTGGTAGCGGCGTAGCAGTGAAACAGCTCTACGGCTCCAGCAGCAGCAGCGACAGACAGGGAAACAGGCTGGCCAATAAACCCCACAGGGGGAGACATAGGCTGGAGGTGGGAGCAGGCACACGAGAGGCACGGAGGGATGCTGGAGCAGAGCCAGCAGCCAGGCAGAAAAGCAGAAAGCGCGTGTCTCCCCAGCCGGCACAGGGAGGAATGAGCAAGAGAGGTACTGCAGAGGTAGAGGTGAAGAGAGAGTGGGAGAGAGACTGAGGAAATAGAGTGAAATGGGGAGGGAGGTGGGTGATAACTGCTGCCACATGCACGCACATAGACATATGCACTCAGCCCCGTTAGGCTGAGTCAGCTGTACTCAAGAGGGTCTCTGAGTCGGACACGGGCTGGATGCTTCAGCCATACTACATACCCCTGACTTCACTGCATAATTTACTCATGTCTCCACTTTCATGTGTCTCCCATGTCATGTTCCTACTATACCTCTGATTTGGCAGGCTAATTTGCCAAGAAGTGATCTTGTCCACTGGTGATCTTGTCCACAAGTTTTCTATTAAATGACGACTGATGTTTTATTCCCCTCTTTCCCTCCTCGGTTCTGTGGTAGAACAATGTGTTTGGATGGCTTGTTTGAATAAAAATATATGGTTTTATAAAGGTGGGTTTGTTGAATTTGTTAAAAAAAACAAACGATGATCTTTTGGCATCATTGCACTGGATTAATTTTATTAATTAATTTTTTTATATAAGTAAAGCATATTGTAAGGCACTCGTATGTAGTAGTGTACATGCACAAGCACCTTTGTTCATATTTTACATTGACCTACATCAAACTCCACATAGCAGCATTGCCATGGGCAGGATATAGGGGAGACCGGGGGCAATTGTAACATTTTTTACATTTTCCTTAATAACTCACAGACTACTTGAGAGACACAAATAATCTTTTGATACAAGAAACACATATATGTGCACTAATTAATAATATAATTGATATATTTTAACTTATAAGAAAGTACTATAATATTTGATTAAATGCAAGAAGTCAGAGTGTTACAATTGCCCCCTGACGGCAAGGGGGCAATTGCAACACTGAAAAATAAGTCATATTAACCCACTGTATGTCAAGTAAAAGCCTAGGGCTACCTCAAAGTAATTACTTTACCGCTAATGTTACTTAAGAGTATTTTTATATGGTTCAAAGTATTTTAGATGTCAGGCATCCTCTGCTAAGTTATCTGTTCTAACTTCATAGAATTGCTTTTCACAAGTGAACTAGTCATTCTCTTTGGTTTTGCTGGGTCTTATACAATCAACTACTTTAAATCCACTATATAGACAAACTGAAATTGAAAGGAACTTTACTTTTGCAGACTTAGGCCTATATAACATTCACACTTTCTGTTAGACACATATAAAACACATATTATTTTATACAAAGACCCTATAACCCTATGTTAATTGTTTATACTAGAACAAATCCATTTCTTTTAATACACCCTTTTTTAATGTAGTTTTACATTTAAATTCAGTGAAATATGTTCACTTTCTAACAAAAGTAGTCAACACAGACAAACAAGCTCCTTACATTGGGCCATGTGGCTTGGAACATCAGTGAACACAGTGTTACAATTGCCCCCGATGTTGCAGCCATGATAAAATCTTGTATGCCTGCTAGCCACAAAAATATTAGCATAGTTTGTTAGTGTTAATTGTTAATCAATAACCTAGAGATGAAATCTATGTATATTTAAATTTGTAGTAATTTAAACTTTAGACACCAGAAGAAAAATACTGTACATCCAAAAAATTACTTTCATACCTCAAAATCAGTATTTTTTTAAAAAACTTCCGCTGAGGTGAAATGATCCTGCTCCATTTCCACAGGCAGAGAGAGAATCCTACTGAGCATGTGCAGATTAAGTGTCATCACTCTAGCTTGTTTCTGTTTGGAGAAATTTGACACTACATTTGACTACAACGGAACAACTGCAAAAAACTGTAGCCGTTGCTAAACTTGCCTGCAAGCAGCTGTTACTTGTTCCTCACAACTTACCACTGCTTCCATTTTGATATACTGTACTATATTTTTCACCCAAAAGTAACACATTACAGATTTCCTTCTGCAAAGATAGTCACCACCCAATGTTGTTTCTTTTAGAACATAGCATTCGTCGGAAGTGCAGTGGATGCAAACCAAACCAGGCACATGGCCCAGACAACATCCTTTAAGGTCTGCACCAGAGCTCAGCCTGCACTGTTAGACATTTCTGTAATTTCTACAGTTATTAACCACATATCACTCAGTATACCGTATATCCTCTTTTAGGTCCAATTTTAGGTGACGTCAGACACCATATACAGCGGTTTACTGTAATAAAAAAATCTGATGTATCAAAATTTAAAATTACAGTAAACCACTGTATATGGTAACAGTAACATACATGTTACTGTATTTTCCCTAACTGCCGTTTTGGCACAGATACATCAGTAGTAGGCACACACAACTAAGACAACAGTGGAAGTTAATCTGTGGTGAAGACAGAACTACCGACGACAAACCCAAGGTAAAAACAACACAAAAAAAATGAATTCAAATGTATGTTACTTGCAAAAAAAGATAGTGACTGACTGTGCACTCAAACTGCTAACTTAACGTTAACTCTGTCAAAGTGAATGGAGTTGAGTTTTAAAGTCAAATGTATTATGTTAAGAGCAATGTTTAGCTCACATCGATATTAAGCTAGCTAATGTAAGGAGACTGTAACTGTAAATTGTAAGTCATTTCAGTTAATTGCTTTATTGCAAACTAATGAAACTAGTGATAGCTTGGCACATTTTTAGTTTTAGGATTCATTTGTTGTACATTTCATATGTTAGCTTATAACTAACATAGGCCTATTCTAAATATGCAGTTCATCTTACAACTAACATAAAAGTGAATACGTTACATGTTCATGTTTTATTGTAGTGTAACACTATAGACTATAAAGCAAATTAAAATATCTCATTATCCTTAAGATGTAAAAAATTTGCGTTAAGTAGTTTTCCTTACATTAGTTGCATTGGCTCAGTTTCTAGACAAAACTAACAGAAAATGACATTTTGGCAGTAAATACTAACTTTACATAAGAATGGAAAATATTTGTTGTAAAATAAATTTTCTGTTCCCTAAAGATTCTTCATGAGGATAAACCCAGGTGATGGAACTAAATGCACCGCAAAAACTAGAGGAGTCGTAGGACAGCAGAAATAGTGAAGAGGAAGATGCAGTCATCAACAACAGAGTGTCATCCTTTGTCCACCAGCTAAAAGAGTTTGAGTGGAAGAACCTGGATTCGGTGAGACACTTTTTTCAACAGGATATGTACACTATACACAGTATACAGTTGCCAGTTTATTAGGGACACCAAACTAAAACTAATGCAGTCTGACCTGTCCTGCAATTAATCCTACTTTCACAAGGGCTACAATATTCAGTTTTTATTGATTTTAGAGTTTTAGAGGAAAGCTGATTCCACTGTATGATCATTTTGCAAGATGTGATATTGATATTGATATATTTTATCGACTCTATCGGTGTAAAAACTTAATTTGAGATTTGTGAACAACAGACTTCCTGCCAGAAAAGGAGCGGATTGCAGGTCGGTTTCGATAACCAAATGTGAAGCGGTGAAAGCGTGTGGTTTGTATTGAGTTACATGATTGGTACAGCCCAGAGAATATTTCTTTTTATATGTACTTAAAGAGTTAGTCATTTGGATATTTCATTCATATTCAGACAATGTTTAGTATTTTGTACCAAAAAATCTCAGTATCTATTGTTACTGTTATTTCCTATGTTAATGTGGTTAATGATTATTTGTAAAAAATAAAAAATAAATAAAAGCATTCCAGTCAGCAGATGAGTATTTTCTTTGTGTTCTTCTGTTGTTGGTAAATAATAATAATAATAATAAAAAAGTTCTGTATGCTGTCCAGATAATTTGTTCTGCACAATACTTTCTGCATTGTATTTAGTAACATTGAATGCACTTAGAATTAAGATAAGGTTTACACATGTAATTTAATTTCTTTTATGTTATTTTAAATGAATTTCTGAAAATAACATTTCTTGTAAAGTGCATTAGGTATTAAAAATGTTTAATTAAAAATTTTGAAATTATGTATTTACTGTGTCTGGGTTAAATCATTAGTACTTTATTAGTAAATTACTAAAATTAGTAAAAAATAATGCATGCATGCATGAATGAATAAATACATATTATATAAATAATATAAAAATACTGGGATTACAGTAGTGTAACTAGTTTGTTTTTTTACAGCAACAGTACTGTATTCTGAATTACATAATTACAGTAACATATATGTTTCTGTAAAAGTGAAAAACGGTTATAGTACTGTAAATCTGAATACAGTAACTAAATGTCTAACAGTGTATCCTCCATCGTATGTTTGTAAAATCAGAAGGGACTACACTGTAGAAGAAAAGCAGGGGATTGTATGTCCAACATCAGGGTCTATCAGCCTTCACTTTCCCTGCTCATCTTCAGGGGGGTAACTGCTAAAAAGGTGGAAGAGTTGAAATACCTTGTGGAAGATTGGTGGATTACCTGACGTTTGATCAACACACAGGCCTCTGTTCATCATCTGAATGCAAACACACCATGTACATTACCTACAACCTCACCAACACCTACTTTACTGTGGAACATTATTGAACACAACCCCTTGGTCCTTCCACATTTCACAGAAAGTGACTCATGCATCAGAGTAGCTACCACAGTCATTTCAGACTCAGCACACCCACTACACCTCCACTTTGCCCTGCCTGTCTGGCTGCAGGCACAGAATGATGCTGATACAAACAACAGCAAGTATTTAGATGCTTGAATCCTCTTCTTGCTTGCCACTAAACACATATCAGTGCATACCTTTGTGCTGTAGTGTTTTCATGCTTTTTTCTTTATTCTTTTCTTTTGTGTGGCTGTGCTTCCTTCATGTTTATCTGCACTGCCTGTGAAAACTGATATTGTCTTGTTGAGAGCAATAGAATTCAATTCTATTTTATTTTATTGCATTCTATGCAATTTAATGTAAGAACAAATGTAAAAAGGCCATTGATACTTTGACAAATATTTCAAAGGAACTACAACCAGGTTTCTTTTTACTACAACACCTAATTGCCTTTTCCAAATTGAGACTACACACTTCTGTGATGACTTGG